TATATATATATATATATATATATATATATATATATATATATGTGTGTCGTGTCCCGTTTGTAAGTTTTCTGTTTTTTAGTGTATTGTTCTTTCTTCTTCATGTTGTGTTCCACCTTCTATTGTATTTCTGCGTGTTGCATAAAGACATACTTGTGACACTTACGTCTGGGGAAGCCGCCGCTGTGTCTTATAATTGGGCCTTAGATTATTTGCCGCTTTGTTTTCACAAGGAGTTGGAATACAGTTTGTGATCCGTGAAACTGTGCCTCCACATGTATACGTGTATTGGGGGTTTCCCGCATCACATTGTGTGTGGCATGGACATGGAACACCAACACTCTCCTGCAGCTGCACCGACGACGCTGAAGTCCCCGTTGCTTCCAACTCCTTCGGAGTTTGCATCGCCGTCGGCCTCACGTACCTCGCTGCAAGGCTCTCCGTTGTACCAAGACATTTCGCGCGGTCGAGGGCGAGGGGTTTTGGATCCGCGCGGACGTAGTCGAAGTGATGCTATACTGGCGAGACCAGCAACCAGACAGCGTTTGAACGACAGGATGACGGTCGTCCCATTTCCTACTTTTGCGAGTTCGACAACCGTCACACAAACTCCTTTCTCAAGTCACCTGCGCACTGCCATCACCGCAAGTCCTGCTCTCCCCACGTTCTCAGAGATCCCACTTCGTCTCTTTTTGCGCAATCCGCTGTGCTTCTATTGCGCCCTCCGCTTTCATCGCCTATGGGGTCTCTCGCTGAGGTGTTGTCGATGCCACTTGCCGCTCGGATCCCGCGAACGTGGGTGTCTGTGCTGCGATGGAGGTGCCTCCATCATTACTACCTCGGTCGCCGTTGTTCAACTACTCGTCACCCGACAACGTCGGTGGAGTTCCCGCTGCGGGTATCATTGCGTCACATCCTGTTTGTCAGGTAGAAGAGCAGCAACCGCTGGACGACACGCTTCGCCCAGCGTCCTGCACTCCTCGTTCGACAAACCATGCCTATGATGGGGTGTCGCCATCTAACGACAACGATGCAGAGATGAGTTTGTCGCATGCATCGTCCCGTGCTAGGTCTTGTACACCTCGCCCAGGGAAGCCTCACTAGATGCGATGTAGATTAAACCAGCAGGTGTGCCCAAGTTCGATTGCAAGGGCGATGGGGAAAAAGTTGTTAGCCCTTACTCATAGCTCAGGAGACAAGCAAAAAAAACATTGTTCTTATGAGAACGTGTTTGATCAGCTGCTTGAGTGGAGTGTTGGCCACGTTGATGAGCTTATGTCGACGTACGGGCCGAGCGAGCAGTCATCTGGCCATGGAGGTTCTTGTGGCCGGGGGTTAGCCTCGACTGACACTTCACGGTCGCGAGGTGGTAGACCTCGAAATAATGCTTTGAGGTGGCGCGGCGACAAGATCGGGTATGCGGATATGGGTCCAATGTTTGAAAGGTTGACGGTGAGGGACCACATAGCCATGTGGGATGCGCCGACAAGGCTTGATGTCGTATTTCTTGAACTGGTGAAACTTCTTCAGATTCTTGGCATGTTTGAGAAATCGTGTCCTTAGCACGGGAAGGACGTGGAGGTGACGATCACGAAGATATAGTATCCTTATCACATTTGCAAGTTGCAATTCGAGTGTGGAAAAGGGTGCACGTGGCACTGGAGTTCTGCAAAAGTTGTTGCTGGTGAAGTGAGAGATTCAAGGGTGGAGACTCAATTGTTCCACTCCACTGTGGCGGCAAGGATGAAGTACACTCAACTGAACAACCTCTTACTGGGCCTAGGGATGAAGAAGGTTCTACATTTTTTTTCGTGACGAAGGCAAAGGTTCGCGACAGTGGCTGCGGCACGTGGAACGAGTTACGGAAAAGAGCTTCGACAGGTTTATCGCACGTTTGCGCAGATCAAACGATCCGATTGTCATTTTGGTCAATGAGTGTTACAATTCCGCTCGTGACGCGCAACATTGTACGGTAACGGCGCTAGATTTGAGAGAGAGAGTGTGTTCCATCCATAGAATGAGTAAAATCGGAATGAATCTCTGGGCAGAACATGGAAACATACACTGTCAGTCTCTCACATTTTCTGTGTTTGGCAGTGTATATTTCCATGTTGTGGCAGTGGATACTTCTATGTTCTAGGGGAAGATTCAATCCCATTTTGCTCATTTAGTTAAGTGTGGCAATGTCTGTGTGTGTGTGTGTAGGATGAGCAAAATCGGAATGAATCTTCAGCCAGAACATGGAAATATACACTGCCAC